CCACTCATTAGGGATAATCCCTGTCCTCAAAGGGGAGGCAGTGTATTGCTTAATGGCTAATAGAGTGATCAGTGTGCTTCACTGCCTTCAAAGACCATAACATTCAGGAGAATTTGTGAAATTTACAAGAGGATACTTCGAAGCTCCTGGAGCTTGAGGTAACTCTGCCTTCTGTAGGATTAGGCACAGAAGTGTAGAGAGGGTATGGAATAATTTTTCCTCTCTTATTTTTACCTATCTACCAGATTGCTGCTTTGATCTTGGTTTCCTTACTTTTGAAGTACTAGGATATGGTTTTAAAGGTTTGTGATTTACTCTGCTGCAATTTTCCACAAGAATTCTTGTATATATTCACTAATTATCATTATTTACAGCAATAATGTCAAAGACTTAATTGCTCACAGTATCATGGAATAAACTAGGTTGGAAAAGACTTTGAGATCATTGAGTCCAACCTATGACCCAACACCACCATGTCAAATAGGCCATGGCACTGAGTGCCACATCCAGTCTTTTCTTAAACACTTTTAGGGACAGTGACTCTACCACCTCCCTGGGGAGCTCATTCCAATGCACAGCCACCCTTTCTGTGAAGAACTTCTTCCTAATGTCCAACTTAAACCTCCCCTGGTGCAGCTTCAGGCTGTGTCCTCTTGTCCTGTCACTGATAGCCTGGGAGAAGAGACCGACCCCCGCCTGGCTACAACCTCCTTTCAGGGAGTTGCAGGGAGTGATAAGGTCTCCTCTGAGCCTTCGCCTCCACAGGCTATTCTTAACAATTAGAATAATTTTCAAAAGCTGGAGGCTGTTGACATTATAAGAACAGAATAGAAACAAAAGACCCCAGTATATTTTTTCGACAATTCTGCTCCTGGTCAACCTCTACCAGCACAAATGAACACCCTGCTAACTCAGTGAGGATAAGAAGAAGCCTAAAGTGTCATCTAAGTTGTACCTCTCCTTTGTAAGATTGGTAGAGTGGCTTAGATCATCTGTTGCAGGGTTGTGATAATTACTAGGTTGAAAATAAACATGGGTCCATGTAAAATTGACAAGAGAATGAACTCTTTACAGAAGAAAAATGGGTTACAAAATAGTCTATGTCAATGTTGAATTGAATATATTCAGCCAGAAGAAATGAAAAAATTAGGCAGGGAATCTGAATTTATATTGATTTTTACATGGGTGATAAATACAGATTTAAATAAGTATCAAATACAAGCAACATACAAACCAATGGGATTTCTTCTTAAGAGGAGGCAGTGTTCTGGTCTTTTGCCTAATAGAGGATACTGGGCAGAGACTGTAGGCCACTCCTGCTTGGCAGAATATCATGAAATGCCTAACTTTTAAAATCACAGGCCATATAATGAGTACAAAATCCTTATCCCATGGCTGTAGTTGCGTATTCAGTTTTCTTCACTGAAGGCACAATATTAGCAATGCTGTTGTGCAATTCTTTTGTATTTTATTCCCAAGGATATCTCAATCTAGCCTGAAGCTAGACTTTTAAAAATAGGCTTTTTAAATAGTAAAATCACTTTTCATTAAACAACTCTGTTTTTAAGCTGTGATCAAACTTTATAGCAACAAGCAAACAAGAATCTGATGTAAATACAAATATACTAAGTGCAAAATTTAAAAAAAAAAATTAAAGAGCACATATATACATCTTAGGATCCTAAGAATTTATTTGGAGTTTGGTTTTGTTGTTGTTGCATTGTTCTGGGGTTTGTTTTTTGTTTGTTTGTTTGGTTGATTGGTTTGGTTTTGTGGCTTGTTTCTTAAGTACCTTAGGCGTTCAGATCTCTGGAAAATTACACTAGCTCCTGAATTTTTTGTAGTAATTTAGAAGTGAAGCACAGGGAAGCAAGATGAAATGAAGGAGTTCAGGTAGGGAGGTGGTGAGAGCACCGTAAACACTTGGAAAGATTTCTTATACATTAATAAATGTTTTGTTAAATGGCTACCAAAGCACTCCTGTCACTCACCAGGTGGATCAGCAGCTCTGTGAGGGCACAGCGAATGCACGGGGGCCACGTATTAAGAACAACATTTCTGCCTACATGCACCCAGACGGGGCTGTAACTGCTGGAGGGAACAGAGAGCTGCTGGCCAGGACATTCAGGCACGACAGCACATGTAGACCTTGAAGCTCAGCCTCTCGTCTGCTCCCCTTTCTCACAGATGCAAAAAGCCTGGAGCCCCTTTTGCTCATCACACAGGGGGACCCCAAGACATCAAGGCCAATGTCAGTTGTCACTACAGGGCCTGGTTCTACTACACTTTCCCTTGAGAACAGCTTTGTACATTTTCTTATAAATGCTTTATTCCTAGAGGCTAAACTTCCACCATTTGCCTCCAACTGAAGAGCAAACCGTAGCGTATCGTAAAATACATGTTTCATTCCTCAGCAGATGCAGATAATGGCACAGATTTCTCAGATTAGGCAGGAGAAATTCTTTGATGCTTCAAAATAATTAAAATGGTCTGGCATGGAAATGTCAAAATGGAAGAAATTTAGCAGAAAATGGAGGAGAAATGGCCGGATCTTCCTATTATCACTTGCTGTACATTTCACAAGACAGCTGATTCCCATCTCTGTATGGGTTCCAGCATTCAGTGATTTATTGGGTAATTCAGCATTTGCCAGTATGTCTTGTGCTAATTAAATGCATCGCACTCTATTCAGAAATGTCACAATTTATTTGTCTTTTGCAAGCACTGACTTTATTTCAATCTTCTAAAAAAGATTTCATGAGCCCTAGATAACTTATCCTGGCACATTCATCTCCCAGGGCAGCTTCTGCATCTGAGGGCAGTGTGGGAAGAAACCAACAGTGAACATCCAATACAAATGTCTTCTTTGAGCAGCTTATTTATCTTATATATGCTGTATATCCAGGAACGTGTAGCCTATATGGTAAAATTACAAGTGGGTCCATTAATGCAAAAAAAAGCTTAAACATGACAGAAGTTAATGTACAGTATTGACAGATTTTATTGGCTGATAGACTGAGCCAAGGAGCCATGAGACTGAAAATACTGTAATCTGTAACAAGGTGTTTATTTACAAGTGGTTTTGACTGAATTTGGCTATTAACTAAATTGCGTCAAGAGGAAACGAGCGTAAAATAACTGACTCTAAATATAAGATGCCAAAGCATGCTTAGTATAATATTCAGAACCTGAGGACAATCCTGTCATTTTAATTCAGTGCTTTTCCTCACATGCTATGCATAACTGAGTGCTGAGGGTGAATTGCAGCTTTTGCAACTCAGCCATGGAGAACACATTTACAGTGTACAGTAGAAAACTGCTTTGTTCTGAGAAAGTACAATTCCTCACACGAAATTGTGGTTGCAGCTTAATCAGAATTGAAAATCTGTGATGCAAGGCAAGAAAGAGCACTTTTCATGTGACACAGAAGAAAATAATTACCTGTTTTAAGGCAGGGAGTGATTATTCAGAGAACCAGCAGTGGGGTCTGTGAAAATATTTTAAGTATTTTACTATAAACGAATAATTTTCTATTACTGCTGTTCCAGATCCTTTTTTGCTTAGATTCTTCCCTGACAGAAATTTTTTGCAGGGAGGCAACTTGCTGCCTTGAGAAGAAACTTTATGGAATAGGCTGGAATCAGTTAAACACAGTTTGAATTTGTCATTTGTCACATTAGCAACTGAGTGTTGCATTTGTAGCAGTTTGGTGTAAAGCAGAGGGAGGACACTGTGTCTATTTTTTGCAGCACAAGCTTCTGCTGCTGGGCCCTAACCAAGGATGCCTCCTATAAGCGGCTGTCTGAGATATTGCAGCAGTGGTGACATTTAACTGGAAGACAGTGATTCACACAATTTACTCCCTGGTGACAGACGGTGACTCTTTACACGCTGTCTGAAGAAAAGCCATGGCCATGAACATGGTTATTTGGCTATGGCTGTTCATCTTGCTAGAGCATGGATGGGTGTGGAGTAGAACTGGACCATTGGTTTGAGGTTCCTGTTCATTTGCACATCTTTGTTGTCTCCTCCTGGCTGATTTGTATGTGAAAGTGAAAAAACAGTGTGTGAACTGGAATAGGAAGGTCTTGAGTCCCTTATTCTGCCACTTCAGGCAGCCGTACTATATACTTCTCATAAACTCATGATGTTCAGGCTGCTGAAATTACCTCTTATGTGAGGCTGTTTCAGAATCTCACCAAAAAATTAGAAACACTTTTCCTCTGATTTCCATCTTAAAATATGTATTTATTTGTTCTGGGCTTATATGATTCTTCTGCTTAAATAGCTCTTCTTATTCTGACTACATATGTCCTTTATGCATTTATAGAGCACTATCATATGCTCTCCCAGTTTCCACCCAGCCAGTCTGCTAAGTTGTACCAACCAACTGTTTTAACATCTATTCCTCTGGTCATCCTCACTCCCTGCACCAATTCTAATTTTATTTAATGTTTCTAGCACACAGGGAGCCAGAACTATTTTAAATAATTTATATTATACAATGACTGTTTTACTTTCCTCTTTTTGTTCTGATTATGCTTCAAATGCTATGTTAGTACCAAATCTGAGTCTTCCACAATTGCATGATAATTACTGCTTACAAGGACACTGTCATTGAGTAACAGACTTTGGTTTCCTTCTTTTTCATTTCAAACCTGTGAATTCCCATTAATTATATGAAAAGATCATATCACTCTTCCTTAAATGCAATTACATTTTACCCAATTTTCTATTACCTAATCTATTTTAATCCTCTGCTTACCCAGTTTTTCATAATACTTTAATTTCTGGCTCTTTTCTGATGCAAAAATTCTATTTTCTATATTCAGAATGATTTTCATATAAAACCCCACAAATATACTGTTTACATGACAGAGAGGAAGATTACACACTAAATATCATTGCTGCAACCATATTTTAGTATTGCTTTATTTTCTCATGTGGCTGACAAAGAGGATCTGCTTCTGTAATAAGGGGTAGACATTTGTCTACAGAAGTGTTTTAAGATATCATTACAGCAAAAGCCTGAGACAGCTCACAGGAAAGCAATATTTTCAAAACCATAGTTTTTCATAACTGACTGTTGGAAAGTAAGAATTAGTAGTTCAGCAAAACTGGTATTTTAGAGAACTGAGATAAAGGAACAAATCTGGTAAGTGAAGAGGATCATATCACATATGGAAACTTAGCTGATTAGTAGAGTCATGGAATATGCTTCTAATTAATCAGGAAAACTTCATGGCAACCCAGAAAGCTCAAATCTAACACAGTATCTGGTATTCTGATAAGTTTTGCTGCCATTGCCATGCCTCTCTTTCCAGTCACCGGCAGTAGGCCATGCAGGGTAACCTCCAGAGCACTCACTGCTCATTTCCCAGCCCAAGAAGTCATGGACCACTTACTCTGTTTTATCTTCCAACACAAAGTTTTACCATCAAGAATCATGTTTTCAGAAGGGGCTTCCAAATTTGCAAATAGAGTATAACATCCCACCTTTTGAGTTTGGTAAGCCTTCATAAAACTTTTTCAGACGGGCTAGTGGCAAAGAGGTGGCTGAGGATTGATACCCCTCCCCTGCTGTACATTCAGTAGCGAAGGCTGTGTTGAAATGGGGTCTCTCTGCATGTGCAGTGGAGACACTGACAGCAGCATCACTTCTTGGTCTGCCCATGGAACAGGTCAGCACTTGCAGGGGAGTGACTGCCGGAGGCTTAGTCAGTCTCTGAAGAAAGAACACCCTCATACACTCTGCTGTGTGAGACTTCTCTCGTTTCTGCTAAACTTAACTTCTGTCTTGAGCCTATCGCATTGCATAGAGGGTGGGGAAAAACGGGGTGCTGACCGATTAAATGTCCTAATTGGAAGTTAGAGTAAAAATGTACAGTTAATGCCTGGAAGATAGAAGCAATGCATCTCCATTTCCCTGAGCACTTTCTAATGGGACAGCTGCTAATGCAGCTGCTTTTTCTTCTATACATGCAAAGCTGATGCACTTCTTTGCAAATATTTCCTATTCTCTTTCCTGCCAATTCACTCCTGTTTGTGTCATTGGCAAAACTCCCATTGATCATGCAGGCAGCATGATCAATGCCTTCTGTACCTGGATGTTTGTCTTCCTTTTTAGGAGATATTTGACTGCTTTTCTTCTTACTAGCTCACTTCTTCTGCCTATGTGGGCCTCCCTCCTTGGCACTGTCAGAAATGAAGATGGTGATTTAACAGGGGTGACCAAAACCTTGCCTCTGGGTCTTCCTGGGTGGTAAAACCAGAAAAAGAGATAGTTAAACAGGTCATAGTGTGCATTTCTACCAGTACTGAGATTAAAAACTATGTAGAAAGATCTTGGCAGGTAGGAAAGTCTAATTACTGACTTGCAGGGCACATGAACCATACACAATCTTTTTCTTAGATCCCTAGGATACAAATGCACCACAGACAATTTCTATGTTAGAGTACTCCAGAGTTCCATAAATCCATCACTCAAGTCCTGGCAGAAACGTGTCCGTCCTTCCTGGCTATGGCATTTCTCTCCTCTGCCTTGGAGAGGTCATAGTATGCTATTGCAGGCATTACAGATACGTTTCTCTTATCTTCCTTCCCACACCATTTCCCCTTCTCAGCCAGGAAATTAATTACACTTTCTCTGTTTCTGCATCTTCTTTTTGTGTTCCCTCTCTCTGTGTAATGTCCCAAAAGCTCCAGTGCAGCTCCCTAGGGTGGGTTACAATGTGCCATCCTGAGCAGATTTCTTTCTAAAAGTGTCAGCTCTCACTGGGTAAGACGCAAACACTGAAGACAGGGCAGGATCCTCTCTAGGACTATGCAGAACTGTTCTATCCTTATTTTTATTAAGACTTCTATCAAACAAAAGCAAGCACTCTCTGAGCTGTGTCCTCCCACTTCGGCAACAAACCCAGGCCTTAGAGAGGGGAAGGGAGAGCAGCTTATGTTCAATCGTGTTCTCAGGACAAGGGCCCTGGGCCCGCCTTTCTGGCTGCTCGGAGCTGTGCGGCTCCTGCCGGCCCCGCAGCTCCGCTCCGCCGGCTCCCAGCGCCCGCACGCCCGGCCTGCAGCCCGCTTGCCCCGGCACCAGCCAGCTCCTCCGTGCTCCTCACCTTGCCCAGAGCTTCCGAGGAGAAAGCCAAAAAAAACCTTCTCCTCTCAGGCTTTCTTGGAAGACGGGCATTCTTCCCACGGAAGCAAGAAGGCTAAGTTTCTTTCGTTTGCAATTAAAATAGAGTTCTTAAGCACCACATTTTAACGCAGAAGCAAAATAAACAATAAATCAACAAAAGCATGGTTTGTTAGTTGAGAGAAAACTGCTACATTCTGCCTTTGCTGCTCGCTTTCTGGAATATGAAAGACTCCACTCAGTCCCTGTGTGCCAACGATTCAAATAAAAAATACATACATAAAAACAGACAGTTACTTCTAGCAGAAAGCCAGGATTCGTGCATGATAGGCACTAGAATAGATATTACTCACTAGTTGCATCTGCTGAAAGTCTGGATCATTCCCTGGAATCTGTCATCTTAGCTTCAAGCCACAAACTGAACCAAGGGGCTTCTCAGGGACTGTGAGCTTGGATCTGCTGTGAGGGTGAAGGTGCTCAGGACAGCTGAGACAGCTGTGTGCATCTAGAACACTGAAAAATATTATTCCTACTGTCAGAAAACTGCCAGCAATTGAATGATTTGTCTTTCTGGTGTACAGACAACCACTGAGTTTATTTAAATTAGCTGTACTCATTTAAATGAGCTGCACTTGGCCACATCTGACTTCCTGATCAATTTGCAGCATGAGAAATTACATGCAGAAAACTGCAAGTGGGTGGTTTATCCTGGGCAAGGGCCAGAGTTTTTGGAAGTGGCCTCAAAAAGCATTGAGTAAACTTGCTATTTCCCTGAACCCTTCACATGTTTCCCCATTCAGTTCTTCCTCTGTCTGTTATTCTTTTGGTGGTAGAGGTGCTCTGTACCAAATTTCTGCACCTGTTACTCAGCCAAAACACCAGAAATACTTTCCCTTCATATGAGTGTGACTATTCACAGTGACAGGAGTCTCAATCCTGGTTGAGAAGACATCCACTGTAATTGATAGATGAGGTGATTTTCACCAGAAACACTACCCCAAGGAAGGGAAAAAAGCAGCTAAGTGCTGATGAAATCCTACAGTCAAGTGGCAACCAAGTTGCAGAATATGAGTCTGTTAATTATTGTGATTTGCTTCTGAGGCAGATGAAGGTCAGCAAGAAAGAAATTTGTTTCCTTCAGAAAATAAAAGCACTACTGGAGTGTAACACAGTTTTTTTTTTTGATTACTCACCTGGGCAAAGTGAGACTTAAACTACGTAATTTTATTTGGAAAGGAGTCCTAATGAAGGAAGGATGTTTAGGCAAGTGGGGAAAAAATTTCCCTCTTTAGGATCCCTGTGATTTGAGTTTGAGTGAGAATTAACCCTTGAAGTTTGGAAAGCAGGAACTGGAAAGATATTTGTTTCTCCCTGGCTTATTGTGCTGACTCTGGCAGAGAACATTGTGACAAGCAAGAAAGACAGAAAAGGTGGTCAGGTGTTGCCTAGGAATAAAAACAAAATGTTTTTTTTCAGAAAGCACAGAGAAATTAGTCAAATGGGGAATTAAAAGGAAGGTTAAGAAAACAGATCACCAACAAAATAAAAGAACACCAAAACCACTCATGCTTAAGAAGGAAGAGGGGAAATACCAATAAAACGGGGAGAGGACCTACCTGCAAATTTACTGTGGTCCAAGAGAAGAAAATAACCAGACTTTTAATAGAAGCTGCTCACTCTAACCATCCACAGGTATAAGAAGTAGCAAGACAGGTCTGTGTCACTTGCCACATCCTCAGCTGCCTTCAGGAAATCAGTGCATTTCAACTGAAATTATACTAATGGAATTCCTGGCCCAAAGATTTCAAATGTTTGTGATTAGCTGGCTGTCAATAACAGATGTGTAACTGAAGTAAAATCTTTCCCTAAGTGATGCTGCAAGTGCATCATCAAACACAAATCACAATGAAACCCAAAAAGTGGAGGACGCTGACCCAGTGGTGAGAAATCCAACTTGGGCATGGAGTTCTGTTTTTCAAACTGGACAGAACAATATTTACACTCTGAGCTTTGGAAGCCTCATAGCTTTGAGTGTAAGCAATACTTACATGAATCTGGACCAGTTGATCATCTCCACTTGAATGGTGGGATTATGGTGACAAATGGTCACATCTGCAGAGTCCCCGGGTTCTGGTATTGCTATTCATGCTCAAATGTCTCTCCGCAATTAAATTGCAACTTTAGTTTTGAAAAGACTTGTTAGAAGGAAATTAGGATGGCAGGTGGGAGGTCAGACAACACAGCCAGCAAAGGAATCCTCCTGCTCTTATTGGAGGGCAAAGGGTGAAATGACAACAAGCAAGAAAGTTCAGTGTGAAAGGTGAGGGTTGATCAAGCACACAGATTTTGGGGACCCTTAGAAACAAATCTGGCTTGATGGAAAGCTCCTGTAAAGATTCTACCAAAGCAGTCATTAAATGTGACTTCAGCACCAGTCAATGTTGCCCATTCAATATTCCTCACAGTGTTAGCAATAATTACTTTTCCTCAATACAGAAAGTGTAACAAATCTGTTAATGACAGTGAGGAGTGTGAAATAATTCCTTCTACCATTGCTAGTCCACTCCTTTTGCAGATGCAGGTGAACCTATACATTGGTGAGAACCTGCAAAACACAAGAACTTCATGTAATCAGCTCTGCATGGAGGGCTGGTCTCTTACAGAACTCTGAAAAGTCTAACAAGAATTTCACTGAACCTCAGTGCCTAGCTAATTAAAAAAAAAAAAAAATATTGTAAATAACTCTTGTTTTCTATTTTCCATCCTTTTACTTTCTATTTTATGAAGTCCTTCTTAGTCTTAAACAGTCTTTCTTTAAAGTATTTGCAATAGTTTCAGAATCGATGGAGTCATTCACTGATAGGCAATACTGTATAACAAGTGTCAAATAATTAATATTTACATTGTATTTTGCAGTTTGTTATAAAAATCATCGTACACTAATTTACTGCAAGTTTGAATCCATCAGGCAATTCCAGATGACTGCTATAGCTTGGCATCAGCTCATGTACTTCATGTATGTATGGTACAGCATTTTCATTTAGAAAAAGAGCTCTAGCAAAACTTTACAACCAAAATAGAAAAAAATCACCAGCTCTCTTCCCCACAGTGGGCTTTTCTGCATCATTATGGAGTGCAGATCTTCTGACAGAAACATTGTACCTTTCTGATAGAAACCTTGCTACCACGCCAAGAGCAATGAAAACTTTTCTGTGTAACAGCAGTAGGCTGAAGTTTTACTGTATTTAAAGTAAATGAGGATTTCTGGCCCATGACCATGTAAGAAATCCTCGTAAGTAAGGAGTATCACGACTCGGGAACAAAGCTTTTCAGCTTCCTTGCATGGAACATACAAATATGGGTTTTTTTAACATATTGGTGAGACCTTGATATTGTAGGGGAAACTGTTTTGAAGGAGTAATAAGAAATCTGTTCACCTAAGTATGATGTGACTCTCACGATGTTCATATGATACAATTTCATAGGCTATTTTGTAATCAACACATGATCCCTCAGGAGCCTAGAAGTAGGAGCAGAGCATAATTACAAAGATTGTCAGCACATTTCTGCAAATAAAGTGGCCAAAACCTCCTTCCCTTAGCTCCAGTTTATCTCAGGAGCATAACTAAGGGAGTTCCTGAGATACAGGGGAGTTCCAAATGCTTCTGAACAGTTTCCCTAGCATGGCACAATGCATGATCTTTTTGAAATGGTTTTGCATCAGCTTAAATCAGAGCTCAGGACAAGTACTCAGAGAAGCCAAATTTCTTATTCAGCAAGAGATGCAAACTATTCCCACCAACCTAGGGTAACTTAATTTTTTCTTATGATCTAACAGTATCTATCAGTGCAGCAAAGTATCTGAGATTCTTTTCTATGAAGGAAAGTACTACCTAAACTATGCTTGCAATTTTCCATGACAGATTTTTGCAGGTTTCAGGTATGTCAATGTATGCTAATTGGATACAGTTGACTGTACATTTAATGAAAAAAATGCCTATATGGGCATGCAGATGCAGAGTCTAATTGCACAGATCTCCAGATGTGCTCTGACAATGCGTGGCAGGTTTGGTTTAGGGCATCAAGACATGGGCTTTCCCCTTTCAGAGGGATTCTGCACAAGTGTCTGTGCCATTCCCCACAACAGGGAGCTGTGAAGAATGAGTGCCCAGGCCACATCTAATACACAATTTTGTTGTTGAACTATCACAAGCCTTTTGCAATATTTCATGGTGATTCTTAAAAATTCATCTCATCAACTTAAATAGTTTAATCTGATAATATTTTATGTTGGTTTGAAAACCAAAACAAACCAGCATGCCTCTCCCTCCCCAACACCTCTAGACCTAAGGGGAGCTGCTGAGAAAATCCTATGAACATAATATAAGCACTTTCAGAGACTGAGAGGCTAAATGAGAGCTCAAGCTGCATGACTTTGATTCCCAAAAGCACCCCTTCCCCAGCTGCCAGAGGAACCCTCCCTGTGACACTGGGGTGTGGGCAGCAAAGCTCCCTGGGGCTGTGCAGCAAAGCTCCTGCTGCAGAACAAATCCTCCACTTACCCTGTATCTCTGTCAGCAGGAGCACCCATTCCAGCAGCTCCCTGGCTGCTCCCACCTCAGCTCCCTGAGACATGAATGGTTCAGATGCCTTGTTTAAAGCCCTGGAAGAGCCTTTATGAATAAGCCTAGTTTCTGTGTATTGTGCAAGCTCAGTCTGCTCTGCAGATTTCAGATTCCAGCTTTCTCCTAGCCTACGGGCAAATTAGAAGTACGTGCACATTTTAGGAGACTAGAAATCTCAGAGGGACATCTAAAGGGAACTGGAATGGTTTCACAGTTAAGTCACACCAAGGGATCTTACCTTTATTCAAATAACCTTTACATAAGTGATCATTTGTACTGCTTGTGAGATGTCAAAGCAGTCGAGAGAATCAGCAAAATGTCAATTCTCCATCTTTCAACAGACTTTGCTACAGACCCCAGCAGAATCCTCTGGCCCTCTGGGAATAAAGTTGTCATGCTGCAGGAGGCAGAAGTGAAGGTGGGGTAGTTAATATCCCCAACAAGGCACCTACATTGATCTCCAGTCTACTGCCATTCATATTTCTCTCGTTGGGATTAGATGCAGAGCAGGCTCCCCAAAGACCACTTAGCAGGCAGTCTGTGATTTGAACCACTTCAGGGCTTCTCGATCGGTTGTTACCAAGCACTAACAACCAACATTTCTCAAGCTGCTCTGCCCTTTTGCTTAAGGTTGCTTTGTGCCTGCTAACCAAACTGATATCTCAATCATGGCAGATTAATGTCACTCTGCTATACCCTGAGCAAAAAGGCAGGAAAAAGCCCATGTGTTTCTTTTTCATAAAGGCTGCCATGCAAAGAGGGACCATGATGAAGTTGCACTATGTGCTTGCCCATCTGCTCTGCACACTCTCCATCATTTGCTGTATTTAATTCCTCTTCAGCAAGAGAAAATATCCTGAGCAGTGAAAGGAAAAACTGTATAAAAACAGTTCTTCCTGTATAAAACAGGAAACTATAATACAGTTATAAAAAATACCAAGCCTGTAAATGGGGCAGTAATTAGTAAATTATTTACTTTTATCAGAATTACCGAATCTTATTACAAGTTCAGCAATTGCATGTCTTTCTAGTCCACAATCATGCCAGAAAAGGGAAATAATTTCAACAGTCTTGTGGTTAGTTTAGTACACTTGCGTGTACAAGTATTGAACTTACCCCTGTTTTACCTTTTGTCCTTTGAAAGTTGCCAAGGCCACTATTATGGTGGGGCCTGCAAAATGCAAAATACAAACCATTTCAATATGATTTTTGGAGAAGATTTTGTCATAAATAAATGACAAGCTGGCCCTGGAGGACAGGCATATCCTTACCTTCTTTTCAATCCCATTGTAAGGCTTATTACATTTTATATTATCAGAGATACATGAAACTGATGTGATTGTCTCCTGTTTCCCTCCCCACTATTAGTGTCTGTGTATAGAAAAATACGTGTGGTCACAAAAGAAATCAGGCAAGGGAAAGTAGGAGGTCCTCCACTAGCCCTGCAGTTTGGTTCAGAAGTGACAGCTGAAACACCCACTATGACATGCTAAACTGAACAAAACTCTTTTGACACCTCAGAACTGCCAAAAGACCCAGAGAGTGATTGCACTCAGACTCCCATTCTTGGTTTTTATAACCAAATGTAGCAACAGAAACAAAAAGACCTTTCTCATCTCTTCTTCAAGAAGCTAGAAAATAATTTTTTACATGTTGATTTTCATCTTGATTCCAGGAAAGAAACAGCTTGAGAAAGCACATGCCTCCTATGAAATAACCAAAATTCCAAACCACTTCTCGCTGTCTGTTCTGTTTCTGGCCTTCTGATCTATGCTAATTGCTAAACTTTGAGTATGCACTTGAAATTTTCTGTGGGCAATGTGACTCTCTTCAAATAAAAATAGATGCCAGAATTTTTTTCTAACTGAAATACATGTGAGAGAATGACATTTAACGTAAGTGTTTAATCATTATTAATTGCTTTGGTACTAATTGAAATCATGATGGGTTCATTTGAATGTATAGCACCATTTAAGAATAATCTGAACAAGTAAATGTGCCAGAGTGTGTAAAAAATCATAGTGAAGCCTTCTAGGAATTTTATTTAATCCACAGATGTGTATGTTGGAGAAAGTTAGAAATTCTAATTAATTGCATGAGATACCTTCAAGAAATAATCCCACCAATTTTACTGAATAAAGAATTTTGTTGAAAAGCCTAAGTCTAAAACATTTTAAAAGCAAAATTATTAAAATAATTAAGTTTAAATTTTGAAATATTTTTTTCCTAACAAGTTTTGTTATAAAACTGTGTTTTGTATTTTCCCTAAAATGTCAGCCAAAAAAAAGAAAATGCCCAGCTCTAGCCCAGGTAGGCAGAGAAGAGTCATCAGCCAAAGTACCCATGGCCTGTCAGGGAACATGGGATCCCAAAGTCTTGCCAAAAAGGCCTCTACAGAGCTCTTCCTTGTGAGTCCAGAAAAAATGGTTTGCAATCCTGCCACCTTAGGGACACAGAGACTCCAAATCACAATTTTCAGGTGATACCCTTTCTCCATTAAAATATGTCTTAACCTCTTAACACAGAGATCTGGTATAAATTTATCCATTTTGTCCTCCTCAAAAAGCCCCAAAAATCCTGTTAAGAATTACAAGCTCTTTACTCCATCAGAAATATAGCCACAAGAACTGGCAGATGTAGCAAGCCAAGCAGTTATAGCCACAAAGGGCAATATTCAGACATCTATTAACATGTGCATGCACACAGATGCCATACAATTGAGTTTCAGAAGAAAACAAGTTTAAAATTTTATGATTTCTTCCTCTTATCTAGTAACTACACTGTTTCTTCCAATTTCCTATTCATTACACACACAATTTTCCAAGTCTCAGTCATGAATCCCTTAGCTGAACAGGGTCAAACTTTTCAATATTAGACACCAACATTTCTTGTTGATGGCATTGCAATTTTACTCAGTTTTATTGCTGACAATGGGCACCAAACAGAAAAGAGAAACAGAACCTACATAAAGGGAAGGAAGACAGTTTTTCTACTGGAAAAATTTATCCTGACGATTGGGAAGAACAATTTGTTTTCTTTTTAAATTGTATTTCTAAACAGAGTAGTGTTTTATAAACTGCATAACTATAGCTGTAGGAATTTAGAACAATGGATGCTACAAAATCATGAGTTAAACATTAATGATTTTTAAAGATAGTAAATTTATTTACATGACAATTTTTTATTCCTCTTTCAGAAGGTGAGTGCACAGCTGAAGATATGCAATGGTGGATATTTTTACATCAATCCTTACATTGTACAAGTGCTACCCATCCTGTCAGCCCTCCTGCACTTCAAATACAATATCACAGTAATGTGCTTCTCTCTCATGTTAGTAATTTCATTTTAGCTCTCATGCTCTATAGTTACAGTTGGGAAATCTTAAGTGGAAAGATTCATCTGGCCTTTTACATATAAAAGTTGCCATTTCATCTTAATTCAAAAGAATAGTTAAGATACTTAATCATATATAAAGACTATTTTGAACCAGGTAGGAAGATTCAAATAACAAAGTTTATATATTATTTTACATAATATGGAGTTGTTTCAATCTACTGGCTTAGAGCAGCTGAAGGAAAAAAAATAATGACATTTCAAAGTAAGAAGAAATCTGGCTTATTTGTAGAAGCAAGACAAAAGGCAATGGGAGATATGAATTCCCTTTTTCAAATTAGAGAAAATATTTGAAAATATATTCTTTAAACTTTCTACTTTTATGTTTGTTGGTAGAATTCCTGATAGAATTGGAGTCCTGTTGCTACACTCCAAAAGATCAATATTTGAATTGGTGGGAATTTTTCTGTTAAAATGTCACAAATATATGCTTTCTGTCCCAAATATATGAACTGTTCAAAGCCAAAAGTTTGTGCAAAATATAGATGTGTTTCCATAAAGATGAACTGCTCTCTGCTGGGGGGGAAGCTGGAGGGAGACAAAAAAATTTATTCAGAGATAATATTTGCATCTCAACCTTTTTCTCTCAGATCACTGGTCAATATCCTGTATTTTCAGTCATCCTGAGGTGAGCACAACCAGAAACAGAATAACAAGGACAGGATAGATTGAGCTCTCCTTATTTTGTATGGTGTGACTTTCACTTTTAAACCTGACACAGGGAATAAGCTTCCAATTTCATGACCCCATTCACTTAACATTTATGTCTATCCTGAATGAGAACCAGTCTATCTGATTTTCTCATTTTTCCAGTTTGAAAACAGGTGAATATGCTTGGTTTAATCCCCGTGTGGAAAAGGCAATCAAGGAAACTTTTCCAAGAAGGCTGAAAAACATTTCCTATTTGGACTTTATTAGTATTACTAGTGGCTGAAGAGCACTTTCAGAGTCTTAAAAAAGTGTTCAAAGGTGTCCTTCCATGGCTAAGCAAAATAAAAAGCTTGACAGCAAGATAGCTCTCTTTGCAATTAAAAAATTTGCAAAGCTGTAGCTAAATATATTTCAAATTCAGTTCTAGCAAATGTTAATCTGCAAACTGTATGAAGCCACCTCTTACAGCCAAGAGCTTGCTAGTGAACTGCATACAAGCTCTGGCACATTGATGCACACACATAATGAAAGCAAGGCATTTGAAGGTACTTCATACAATTTTTTCAAATCACCACTGAAATTTAATTCTCTTTTACAACTGGAATTTTTCACTGTGGTAATACCAGCAGTCATATGATGTTCATAGACACTAACAATATGAACAATTATTACTGTGGGTACTGTCAAAAGTGCAATTGTAAACCAGAAAACATATCTGAAGCCTTTTCTGGGAAGATGACTGAGGGTAAAAAGATAACAGTATAAAAATTACAGGGGAAAATATGGTTGCTTCTCCCTGGACATGGTCAGAATACCCAAATTCCCCCACACAACACAGTCTAAGGGGGACTAAACAGAGGGTGGAGAGGAGCAGAGACACACAGAGTGGCCAGGTTCTGTCAAAACCCTTGCAGAGAAGGGAATACAGTTTTGCTTTCTAGCTGATAAGCTGCACAGCAGCTGAAAACCTAGGGAGATGAAGATGTTTTGCTATTGAATCAGCAACCATGGCAGAATGACTCTCCTTGGACTGATGCATGCCCCATCCCAAGGTTATCTCGGGTACAGAAAGTGAAACAAGTAGCTCATTGTCCACGTGGACTCTGGTTTTCCAGAGTCCTGATTTAGTATCTAGCACTAGATATGTTGCTGTCTTGCACAGATATTAAAAGCTCTCAGTAGAGAGCACAAGAGAAGTGTAGAGAGCTTTCATTGAAGCAGAGAAACCAAAAACAATGGATTCCAAAGTGTGGGCCTTACGGAGCAGAGAATTCTGTCTCGACATTGCAACAACACAATCAAAAGTTTGGATTGAATGGCTGTGGATCAAGTACATGCATAGTTTGATTTACAATCAGGATGTGAATACTTTGCTCTTTTCCTTAATAAAATATTTGAGGGTTGAATTACACTTATTAAAGAACAGTATTATTTATAATAATATAATCTGAGTTTGTCTAGTTCAAGTTCACTATTTTTATCTTCTCAGATGAAGAGCTATGTACAACAAGTTAACACAACTTAATGTATATGGATCATATATTTTAATCTTACCCTTAATAAAAAATATTTGAAAAACTAATAGATTAAGCATGACTCTCTTTCTATTTTCCTTCAACTTTCCTTGTAACTCTTCTCAGAGCTGTTTTTGTGTTTGTTAGTACCCTTTGTGAAAAGACAAGACGGGAAGGAATGGTCAAATAATACTTGAGTCAATGTCACTGTAGATTTGAGATAATTCCATGTGCCTACTTCTGTTTAATAATGGCAGATGTAAGTGTGCAGGAATTACATTGATGTATTGCATGCAACATCAGATTGGGGTCTCAGCTTCATTTGATTGTTTGCTGGGATTCCTGTGTCATTTTCAGAATTACTGAAATTCAGAATTACACCCTCTCCTTATCACCTTAATATTTTCTCTAAGTCTAGATACAGGTCTTCATATGGGTATGAATTTAAAAAATATGTTCTTGAGGTAAGCAGAGCATATACAATTTATTCCACTGTGAATTTTGTGCCTATCTGTAAATTTTAGCATGATGAGTCAAAAATAATTAGCAAAATAATTGAACAGCAACAGATACCTTCTTTCTGACAGATATTTTCACGTTCTGTGA